CCTCCTGGGAGCGGACAGAGCTCTCCCCCAGGGCTGAGGCCCCCTCGGGCAGTTGGCTCAGCTGGTCCATGATCTCCAGCCCATTCTCCTCAGCAATCTGCACGATGAGACTGTCCACCTGCTCCTGCGGCGTGGTCAGCGTGGTGGCAGAGCTCATGGAGTCCTCCATCACCTGGGGCAGACACAGCACTGTCACCCTGCCCAGCCCATTGCATTCCCCTAAGATCCATCAGGGATCCCACCCTCATCCCACCCTCCCTGTCTGCCACATTCCCCTCTCCACAGGGTGAACTCCCCTTGACCCTCCTAAGCACTTACCGACGTGTGAACATCCAGGTTCTGCACCTGCTGCTCGAATTTATCCATCACTGCTGACACCTTCTGGAGGTCCATGGAGTTCAGAGCCTTGTCCAAGGCCTTGGTCACCTGGGCCATGTTTTTCGTCACCTGCAAGAGGAGATTCCTTCAGGGATGCTCTACAGGTTATAGATGAATCTGAACCCTATTGTGAGGCCATTCCAGGTGGGATGAATAATCACAGGCGCTCTCGGAGGCTCTTACCCCTTTCATGGTGACATCTATCTGCACCTTGGATCTGAGAGGGGAAGCACCACTATTCCCTTCTCATGGGCACAGCCCCATCCCACATTCCCAGGCCCCATCCTGATCCTTTCCTGCAGGCACAGCCCCCTCCCAAACTCCCAGGCTCTCACCCCCTTCATGGTGACATCTATCTGCACCTTGGATCCAAGAAAGTAAGCACCACCACCATTCCTTTCCTGTGGGCACAGCCCCATCCCAAATCCCCAGGCCCCATCCCAATCCTTTCCTTTAGCCACAGCCCCATGCCAGACCCTGGGCCAAGAGGGAAACCACCAACACTCCCTTTGGGTGGCCACAACTTCATGCCATATCCCCAGATCCCATCCCACATCCCAAGGTCCTACCCAGAAGCTCTTATCTCTTTCATGGTGACAGCTCTCTGCACCTTGGACCCAAGAGTGGAAGCACCACCATTCCTTTCCTGTGGGCACAGCTCAATCCCACACCCCCAGGACCCCATCCCACACTCCCAGACACCCCAAGAGGCTCTTACCCCCTTCATGGTGACAGCTGTCTGCACCTTGGAGGCCACGGCGTCAACACGCGAGGCCATGCGCAACCAGTTGAGGCTCTCGTTGCGTTTGCGGATGGAGTTCTCAGCATACACTCGGGCACACTCCACATTCTTCTGCTGCAGGGCCTGGGGCACAGGGCATTGCCTGCTCAGAGAGCCCCCAGGGGGCAACCAGCACTGCCTGCATCAGCTGGGGGGATTCCAGCAGGAAACAGCTCTCCTGTAACGCCAGGAGTTGGGAATGCCCTTGAGAAGGAATTACATCCCTCTTGGTGTCATTGGGACGTGACATAGATCCAAGATGGGAGGCAGAAAGTCCCCCCTGGGTGTGAACCAGCACTGCCTGGTTCTGCTGGACAGGAGTCCAGCAGGGAATGGCTCTTCTGCGGTGCCAGGAGCTGGGAATGTCCTTGAGAGGCAATTACATTGCTCTTGCTGTTGCTGGGATGTGACATATACCCCTGGTAGATCCAAGAGGGGAGGCAGTGCTCCCCCAGAGATAAACCAGCACTATCTGGTTCTACTGGATAGATTTCCAGCAGGGAACAGCTCTTCCATGGCACCAGGAGTTGGGAATGTCTTTGGGAGGGAATTACATCCCTCTTGGTATCACTGGGATGTGCCACATCCCTCTGGTAGATCCAAGACGGGAGGCAGAGAGCCCCCTGAGGGGAATTCACCACTGCTTGTTTCTGCTGGATGAGATCCCAGCAGGGAACAGCTGTCCCATAGCACCAGGAGCTGGGAATGCTCTTAGGAGGGAATGACATCCCTCTTGGTGTCACTGGGATGTGCCATAGATTCAAGAGAGGAGAGGCAGAGAGCCCCCCTAGGTGGGAACCAGCACTTTCTGTTCCTACTGAATGGGATTTCAACAGGGAGCAGCTCTCTCAGGAGCTGGGAATGCCCTTGAGCAGGAATTAAATCCCTCCTGGCGTCACTGGGATGTGACACATACCCCTGGCAGGTCCAGGAGAGGAGGGTGGGAGGGACCATCAATTTCCCAATGCCATAGGGGGAGGAGGTACCTCCAGCTGCCCCAGGTGGTGCTGAGGAAGAGCAGGATGAGGGCCCACTCACCTTTTTGACTTTAGCTTGTTCAGCCTTGGAATCCTTCTCAGCCTTCTTGGAGAGTTTCTCCAGCTGCTTTGCTGTGAACTGGAGAGGAACTGGGAGTCAGAGCTGGGACACAGCAGGGCAAGCCCAGGGACACATGCCACTAGCTCAGGTTGCTCCAAGCCCCATCCAACCTGGCCTGGAACACTCCCCAAGAGATGGAGCAGACACAGCTTTTCTGGCCAACATGTGC